TATACAGCTCAACTTCCACCTGAACAGAATAAACCCTGAACTTCCCCTAATGTGTCCCTTTTTGTGACCATGCATATGAGACTGTGGATCATCACCTGTTCCACTGCACAGCCCTAAATGACATCAGAGCTACCCTTCTCCCTCCGAGACCTAACATTGACAACACACTCAATGGAACATTACAGCAACTGCAGCAATCCTGCACTTATCACAACATGTCATTGGACAGAAGGGCGAGAGAGCTGTTGCTGGATCGATAACAAAAACAACAAATTTTATGCTCCCCAGTTTGTAAATGGGTTCACACTTTTTTTTCATATGGCGTTTCCCACGAATAATACTTTGCACCGACATAAACACAAGTCCATATATGTCGCTGATTTCTTTAAGGAGGTATGAGGCTCTTGCAAAATGATATGTCCTAGATAACAAACCAACGGTTTGCTCATTCACAAAGCAATTTTGGTGGCCAGAACGTGGGTAACAAAGACAGTGTCTCTTTCTTCACAAATTTGCATTATCCAACGATAAACAGCGTTTACATGAACAAGCAGATTCTTCACAAGCACCCTGCTATTTGTCATGAATAGATTTTGACGAATACAATGAACAAAGATTCAAAATTGATGTTTTCTTTGTTTCAAGAGCGGACATGTTATTGATTATTATGAGGGCCCTCCTGGCCTCTCATTCAAAGGTCCCGGGTTCGAATCCGGGTAGGTAGCAACCGAACAATTTTCTTCTCTGAAATTGTCTCCTTTCACCTCCTTTCCTGCTCTCTAGCAATGTTTTGTCGTTTGCTTCCGTCTCCTCTTTCTGCCCCCACCCTATCACCTTCTTTGCCCCTCCTCTGGGCTCCTGACTCTTTCAGCAGCCTTTCTACTGCTACTCCTTGGCCCCTTCTTACTGCTGTCTTTCAGCCACACCCCTGATCTTCTGGTAGGAAAGATCTACACCTAGCCTTCTCGGACAAGGGCGAAAAATCTCGGAGGGCCCGTGTGCAAGTTGCGCACGGTAAAGATCCCTTCGTGGTCTAACATCGATATGAGACGGCTTCGACCGCCACCCGGGCAAAATTCAAAATTTCCTACCAACTGAAAAAGTTTAATGTGTCCCGCGCGTTCATATGACCTTATGCAGTTGCGAGCGCCGTAAAACACTTACTAAAAAAACAAACTTAATAGATTATTATTCCTCTTACTTGTGTGACTGAAATCAATTATCTTACCTGTGAGATGGCAACTTCCATTACTTTCTGATCCACCTTCGTGCTGAAATGCCATGTTAATAATAATATGTGCGTTTCCTTTTTAGCGTTAGCGACAGGGTATAATAATTAACATCAAATGTGCTCATAGTATTTAGTTTAGAAGCCAATAATCACACACCCATACGCACATACACACAATTGCACAAACACACACGTGTACCCGAAACTATTAAGATAGATAGATAGATAGATAGATAGATAGATAGATAGATAGATAGATAGATAGATAGATAGATAGATAGATAGATAGATAGATAGATAGATAGATAGATAGATAGATATAAAAAGAGAGAGAGAGAGAGGGGAGAGAGAGAGAGAGAGAGAGAGAGAGAGAGAGAGAGAGAGAGAGAGAGAGAGAGAGAGAGAGAGAGAGAGAGAGAGAGAGAGAAGGGGGGGGGACGACAGAGTAGAAAGTCATTATTCCTGCCCACTGAGAACATACTATGAAAAGAACATTAAAGGTGTGAATTTGTATGGTATGAGTCTATCAGACTTCAACACTATTATTCAAAGGAGAAATGCAAAGGTGAGCTGTAATGGAAATGCAGGAGAGGGAATTGTAAAGTAGCTTATAAGGATCAAATACTTTAATTATTCCTCCCCCTCCTATTTCTCTCTCTCTCTCTCTCTCTCTCTCTCTCTCTCTCTCTCTCTCTCTCTCTCTTATTCATTCTTTCTACATCTCTCCTTCTCTCTCTCTCCCTCTCTCTCACACATACACACCCACACTCTCTCTCTCTCTCTCTTTCTCTCTCTCTCTCTCTCTCTCTCTCCTACTCTCTCTCTCTCTCTCTCTCTCTCATTCTCTCTCACTCTCTGCGTATTAAGTTGTTGTCAAAGACACAAACTGTGTGTAGAACTAACCTTTGACAAGCCTTTAGTTGCACAGTCACGTTTGTAGCCTCGGAACTCGAGCAGTTGCCCATCAATACAATCCTACCGCCTCACCAAAAATATGACCAACGGTCATTTCAACAACTTTCCTCAGCGCCCCGGTAAGTCAAAGAATAAAACATATCTCAAAGTTTCCACTGTGTGGAGAACAAAGTCTTTGTCTAGTCTTCGCAGGTTCGATCAAAATAATAATACAACAGCTGTATCTGGTTCCAAACTTTCCTAGTCGCGTAAACGCATACAGTATCTCAAGACTGTTCATAAAATCTAATACTCGTACAATGTAGATTTTTGTCATGCTGTACTGTTTACGGAATATTGAGTTGCAAAATAACACATTATGTAATTAACGCACTGGGACGAGGGAATAAAACGCTAAACTGTTCAACAGTCTGTGATGGTTGTCCATTCGGCTTCATTTCAGGGCTGTTACAATAATTATTTCTTTGACTGCCATTCCGACACCATGAGGCACTGTGATCACCCGTGTTACTGTTAAGCTGTTACAGTTACAAGTACTCCAAAATCAAACAGTAAAATTGATAATAAAACAAAAGAAACCAGAGCGTTTAACACCAATTATGGGAGAACTATCATTACTGGCTGACAATAAAAGAAAATTATACAAAACTGCCGTTTTCTGTTTTAAATGTCTAAATGATACATGGACGGCTGGTGCTTCTATAAATAAATCATTGATGGTCACGGTCATGTCTCTAAATGATACTGCACCTACATTATATCTAAAACAATCCCTGGAATTATATAATCCACCCAGAGTCCTTATTTCTCTCCTGCATTCTCCGTGTTTCCACTATACTCTCTCTCTCTCTTTCTTTCTCTCTCTCTCTCTCTCTCTCTCTCTCTCTCTCTCTCTCTCTCTCTCTCTCTCAGTCTCGTCTCTCTTTCTCCTTCTCTCCCCCCCCTATCTTATTCCCCTCCGCTCCCCCTAATGAAGTATGATGACGCTCATTTGTTTCTCTACTCTGGGACGTTTATTACATTCAAGCAAGAACAATGATCAGAGTACCTGGGAAGCAATGACATAACAATACGTTTGACAATACAGACACATAACATACTCACGCCACTACCCTCTCCTTCTCACGACTTTCAATCAGTCTCTATAGGTAAAGATTATGGAGTCAAAGGTATCTTAATCATGTTTGCTATCGAATTTATTCATTCAAAAAGTTCTGGCATGGACTAATCTTCTGACTGTCGACATGTCTTTATGTGATCTAGAGTTGTTGCTCTTTCTTTTGTGAAAGTTTGTCTAACCTTTTGTTGCACCACTTAAAAGGGCCTTAAGATAAAAGTTGATCACTCCCTCGGTATGCTGTGAGTTGTTGGTCTCCACAATCACGACCCGAACATTTATTTGAATTTTAAACATCAATCAGTCAAACATGCAAATAGGAAAATAAAAAGAAAAGGAGTGCGATAAGCCAACTGTGTAGTTTTCTGTTTTCTATTTATTGCTCCTTAAGATTACAGATTACGTTCAGAAACTCCATTCATTAGCACTAGCGAATCAAAGACATTTGCAGAGATAAGCGAGAGGGGGTGTGGGAGGGGCGGTGCCACTAAGGCATGAAATGTAATGAAGGTGAGCATGGCTAAAAACAGCAAGAAACTACATCTTTCACACCATTGCTGCATTTATTATTAAGTCAAAACGATTTATAATAATGATTTTTTAGAGAAAAAGGTGAGGACGAGAGATGCAGATAGCTAAATTGTGGATGAATTTTGGAAGGGGGAAAAGGGCGGTGGGTGGGGGCATTTTTTCAATGAAGAGGCTGTCAGTGGTTTGCGCTTTTCGATCCGGTCAGTACTATTCCCCTCCGAATCTAAAACATCACACAATTCTTTTGTCGTTCATACTGGACAAGGGGGCAAAATGGTGCCAAGAGAAATTTTCCAAATATGTTCCTCTTCTCACCTGAACAAACAGCCAGTCAAAGTGTAGGTAGTTTGGGAAACTATAATGCACCAGCTTATGCCCAGCACCACATGGCTGTAGACAAAGTCAGTTATGTAGGCAACAGGGAAGATTTACATAATTTGCAATTCCTTTGCAGTTACCCAATGCGTAGAAGAACATAGTGCCTGTACCCGTGTACCTTCGGATTATAAGATAAGATAAGATACATCTTTATTGTTTATTGTCCAGATCCTGACACATCGATGTTTCACCCCGCACGCGCGCACACACACACACACACACACACACACACACACACACACACACACACACACACACACACACACACACACACACACACACACACACACACACACATACACACACGTAATATGATTGCTTTCACAAACAGGCTTACAGTCACATCCATAATATAAATAAACAGTAATATAAACAATAATAATGTAAAGCTGGATATTATTATTCTGATTGTAATTGAATGGCATGCTGGTGCATGCTCTAAAATCATATGAATACTTATAACAAGATGATTAAGATGGAAGAAGTTTGATGGATGATGGTAAGAATGACCTGTATCTTTCTTTGTTACGGACCAGAAGCCTAGGTCTTTTACTTTTGACTCATATTTTTATTTGAGGGAACAAGGGATCTTTACGGTCCATATAAAGATGGAACTGATTTTTCTATGTGTACTTTCCTCCTGATCATGTGATATTTTTGGTGGGTTGTGTGTGTGTGTGTGTGTGTGTGTGTGTGTGTGTGTGTGTGTGTGTATTTGTGTATGTGTGTATGTGTGTATGCGTATGTATGTTTGTGTGTATGAGCATGTGTATGTGTGTATGTGTATGTGTATGTGTGTACGTGTATGTGTATGTGAGTGTATGTGTGTGTGTGTTTTCTGGGGTTTTGATTTGAGTCCCCCCCCCCTTTTTTTTCGAAAAGGTGCCTTCTGTCAGTTGGCTATCGGTTACCACCACTAGCAGGTCCTGTGTTTACTGTCACTCTTGTCTTTCTGTGCGTCTGTCTTGCTTTTGCTCAGTACCAAATGGCTATTATAGAATGTCAATCAACTTCTCTCTAAGCTACCTCAAATTCTAACGTTTTCGATGTTGAGTTCTAGTATTCGACTCCGTCTTGGTCTTTATTTCTTGTGTCCTGTTTCTCTTTCCCCTGTAGTTTTATGCCAAGCAAGGTTTTCTGAGCAATTAAGCGATGATTTGAGTATTATCACACTTCAAAATAGAACAACGATTTTAAGCGGCCGACATCAAGTAGTGTTTATGAAAAATTGTACAAATAGTGAAGATATCATTGTCCAGTGGGTATTAACGCCATCTTGTCCGTTATTTCCCGGATGACCGACCAAGCAAAAGTGACGTCAGACATCTGTGTCCCTCTCGCACAGACAGCAAACCGTAGGAAGTAGGTATCCTTCACTTTGGACGGCACCAGGTGAATTCGTCTGTCGTCGTTTATTTTTTTGTTCAAGGTCTCGTTCGCAGAGTTAGGGCCCTTGAGGCGGAAGCAGACGAGTCCCAGCGTGACTTCACCAACTATCTCAAACCTGGAGTCGTCTGCTACCAGCTGGCCGAACTGTTTTGCCAGAAGTACATCCTGAAACCAAGTTGTAAGGGGGAAATTTAACCACTCTCCAATTGATGTTCTTTTTTTACCAACGGAAAAATCATCCACAAATGAATAGGATACGACCTTATTTGACCATTTCGAAAGGTTATCTTATAACTGTAATGGAGCATGCGAGACCATAAAAATTTTACAAACCATACTGGGGACAAAAAAGGAAAGCCAGATCAACAATTTGATACTAGTACCCCTCCCCCTCCTCCTCCCCCCCCCCCCCCCCACACACACACACACACGGCGCGCGCAATTATTGCCAGTCATATGTAAATGCTAGTGTTGGGAAGGAGGGATAAGGGGATGTGAAGATAATGGGAGGTTAGGGGATGGGGAAAAGAGGGAGGGATGGGAAGGGTGGGAAGGGAAGGAGACTGGGATAGGATGGGGATGGGGGAGGGGAAGGAGAGGTAGGGGTGGGGGTGGGGGGTGAATGAAGATGTGATTTGATAGGGTAAGGGGATAAGGGATGAGGAGTATGGAGGTTGCGTAGGAATCGTATGGGGGGGGGGGGGGGCGTATGAGAAGTTGGAGCAAGATGTGAAGCGTTTATTAAAATTTGTTCGGGGTATATCGCCACACCCCCACCACCCCCTTTTTTCCCTTCCACAGACAGAAAAGGACATTAATCCACATAGAACCATCTTCTTTTATGACTGGTAATAAAATATTATGTAACACACGAATTTGCTTCCACTTTTAGTCCAACCAGCGAGCCCAAGACAGTCTCGGGCAAGGCAGAGAAGGGGTTCAGCTTCATAAAACGTATTTTTTGGACGGCTTAACTTCCGTTGCGCTTCTTATTACTTGGTGAGTCAGATATTTTGGGAAGCAAATTAAAACCTCTGATTATGGAGAAGCTAAGTTTCGATGACTCAAAGAAACTTATATTCTAACACTTGCTCTTTTTTTGATAGCTTGCATTTGTGGCTTTGCACTCCAAAGACGTGAGTTCGATTCTCGTTTGTGAACAGATTATAACACTGTGTCTCTGCCTTTCCATCGGAGTACATTCTGTGTAGCGAGGGTCAACCCTTACAAAAAGGGTGAACTAGCCCACCCCTAAAACGGTGTACGTTGTGTTAATGGGGACGAAAACCATCCTGCACATAGAACTTCACTAATTCTATTTCAAAATGTTTAAAATAAATGTAGATGCTCCATATCCCTTTCGACACAGAACTAATCGTATCATAAAGGTTTTATTCTAATCACCAGCACAAACCTTTCGTATTTGCTGCTGCAGACCGGAAATGCCAAACATGCGCAAAACGAACCAGACTTTTAGAGATCTGAATCTCCGACCCAGAGGAATTTGCCAATGCTGAGGACAGAAGAAATGTATCATTCACTGGACGAGGAGCAAACAACGTGGTGTCATAGAAAGTTTTCTTTAGCCTTTTCAAAACTATTCACTATAGCTATAGATCTATATCATAGGGACAATTAAATGGACGAAAGCTGTCAAAAATGAAGCAGACTCTAAGCCTTATGTTACCTACGACTGGGAAGCTTTGCTAGTGTTCCTTCCTACTAATTTAACCTGTAAGTGCGAAAATACCGCTCATACAAAAACGTTAGAAGATTCATGAAATACACCTGTAGACATTTTGAGACCGCCAACAATGTTTATTTTTTTATCTTTAAAAACAAAGAATTGATTAAAGCTACTGCCTGGACACAACAGGCTTTAAATTCTGTCTGATCATAATAATATCTCGATTTTACGGTATTCGCTATTTCGCGACTCACTCTGTAGTCAGGCATAATTTGGCCTTGGTGCTCATGCTTCAGGTAGAGAGGGTCCATCTCGAAAGCTCCAGAGACGAGAGTTCTGTCCTTGACCCTGGGGGAAGAGGTCAAAGTGCAGATGCATCTCAATACGGGGAACATCAGCTATTGAAGGTATCTAATTAAACAGCAATATGAATAAAGCAGGGGG